ATCGAACTCTGGGCTATGATCGGTCACCAGGTGTAGGTGTCTCGGTACGCCTGACCCCAACTATATCAGTTGCATTCAAGCCTCGAATCTTCTTCCCCGACAGTCGCAATACCTACGCGTCTACACGTCGATATGTCGGAAGACCATCGGCTGTCGCTGACTAGCAATGAGGCGAATTAACGACCAATTCCTCGCTATATAACAGAACGCCTCAGCCTCAAGGGTGTTCCCATTGACAAGATGCTTCAATCCCTCGCCCTGTGCTTAGGACTTCTTGGCTCCGCCACGGCTTTGACACTCCAGAATAACGACCCATTGATATACTTTCACGGGCGTTGGGACTCGTCCCCTGGAAGTTGGTGGTAAGCAGACCTAAATGTTATTGGATTCGTTCCGGATGCATGTACTGACGGCGCACACGCAGGGCCTCTACCGGCTTCAAACTCAATGTCACTGGCGTGTCGTCTCTTACGTTGAATCTTGGGAGCCACACGTCCAGCTTCGTTCCCTTGAGTATCTCCGTCGACGGTGGCCCTTTCGTGAACTCCATCAATGTCACCGCGGGATCGAACAACATCCCGCTTGGTGGCACCGTGAACGCGGGCACGATACGCTTCAACGCTCAGGGTTGGCAAAACAATCGACTCAATCTCGAGTCAATTGTATTGAACGATGTAAGTGTTGAAACCGCTATTTTTTGGTGATATATTCATGGCTCTACAGGGGGCCGAGGTCTTCCCGTACATTCCGTCAAAGCTTGCGTTCCAGTTCATCGGCGATTCTCTGTCTGCGGTACGGCTATTCAGACACGCTCTTTGTAAAGACTATACGACAAAAATCCGCTGATCATGGCATGTCCAATGTAGGGCCAATATGTCCCTCAAGGGGTGGACCAGGCGTGGCCTTTCCTTACAGGCGAAGCCTTCAACGCTGAGCATACTATCATCGCTCAGCCTGGGATCACCCTCCACGTGCGTCCATAATGCTTTCAAGTCCCCAAAGTTCCTTGTTGATTTAATTATAATCAGGATCAACAATCGTACGGAAACGTCCACGGCATGTCGTACATGTACTTTCAGACGGAAGACCCTGGATACTCCACCTCGCCCGACCATGATTATACCACCCCCTGGAATTTCACGCGTGACGTTCCGGCAGCGACGCACGTTGTCATCCATATTGGGTGTGTATCGCTACAACTGCAGCTTGGTTTTGACTCTTGCATCTTCCTAACACTCATTCCTTAGGGCGAACGACAACGGACAAGGTGTCTCATCGAGCACTTTCGTGCAAGTATGTAGCTTGCATCAGTATCCCGAATCGTATGCACGGCTGCTAACTACCGTCTTGACAGACGTACAACACTTTCCTAGACCAACTGCGCCAAATCTACGTCGACCAACCTATCTTCGTGTTCTCCCCGGTCAGTCCTCATAGAATAATTCGTATTTGGCAAGAAATTGATATCGGTCTGGCTCACACAGTGGGGATGGCCAGGCCCTACTGGTGTTGGCTATTACTATCAGGGTGACTATCAGCAGATTGTCTCGACACGGTGAGTACAGTGCTTAATGTATCGACGCTGAATCTTCCTACTCAAATATCCTTTCGTCTATATCAGGCAGCAACAGGGCGACCAGAACATATACCTCGTGGATACGACCGGTTGGGTCACCTACAATGACATATTCCACGAGTAAGCACGCACGAAGTCGACACCTAGTGGCCTGCTAATATACTTAATGTCTATCAGCAACCTTCACCCGACTGTCGCGGGGCACATCAAGATTGCGGGAGAGTTTGAGACCTGGCTCAAGAACTGGGGCTTGGAGCCTGCTTGATCTTGACACGAGAGTAGCACCGACCGTTGTGTATACAAAGTATCCAGCTGATTCAAATGAATATCGAGCCAATATCGAGCATCGGCCATTCGCTCATTCTGTCTGGAACTCTCTGTGCGTGTACTCTAAAGACCCCTTGAACTCTACCGGAGAAACCTAATGACCGGAATTTCCATTCAAATAGAGCGATACTGCGTTGCAGCTGCGTGTACAGAGCTCTAGGACTTCTTCATTCGTCATATACCTGGATCCTCGTCATGCAGTGCTGGTCATCTGAGCATCCTCTAATACATCCACTACAGCAGTGAACGGAAAGAAACTTGACACTACTTTTGCCCCCTCGCCAAGCCGTTGCCCAGCCGCTCATGTCTTCAGGCATTTCGAAAGAAAAAAAATCACCTCCCGCGGACAGCTGGGGAAAGTCCGCCGCCGACCTCACAGGCCAACCCTCTGACTGGGGGAAGACTGCGAGCGAGATGACGGGTGCACCCGCAGAGTGGGGCAAGAGCGCGAGCGAGATCGTCGGTACGCCGAAACACTGGGGGCGCAGCGCCGCAGAAATGATCGGGACACCGCCTGAGGAGTGGGGGAAGACTGCCGGAGAGGTGGTCGGAGAGCCGGAGTGGTGGAGTAGCAAGAAGGATATCAAGCCTCCAGAGCATTGGGGAAAGAGTGCCACGGAGATGGTGGGGGTGCCGGAGGATTGGGGGAAGACCGCCGCTGAGATGATAGATAGGAAGGGATTTAACATGGATTCGGTAGGAAAGACGGGGAAGAAATGAAGGAATGCGCAGAATGGGCGATGCCCGGGTCAGCGTTATATCCCATTCGACATTCGATGCATTGTATCTGTGGCTGAGTGAAACAAGGGAGGGCACCGTGCCTCGACATGTAGAACGTCAGTTCAGCTCCGTTCTTTAACGACCGCCGCACAGCGGTCGCGCGAGTACGCTTCAAAGAGGTTTATAGCAGACGAATGTAAGCCGTGCTCAGTACAACTCCGGTGAAGAAACAAGATACAAAACTACTCCCACGAGGTCCAAAATCCGACGTATCGTATGTCCATTTGTTCTTATAATCGTCCTTCACTTTTCCCTTAACATCGTCCATGAAGCAGAGATTTATTGCCTGCAAGATACGGCTTAGACGGATCACCAAGACCGTAGGGAGATCATTGACGTACAGCAATGCAAGAGTAACGTCGCCATGAATTTTTGCTTTCAACTCAAGCCTATACGGTCATTTAGAACACATTTCATGAACACCGAGGAATGCACGAACCAAACATCGAGATTCAGGTCAAGCCGCAGACTGAGGATCTTATCGTCCTCCGGAACCGAGTCGGGCCCACCTGAGGGCGGGAGGTCCATCGCGTCTCCCATGTCGTCTCCCATGTGTGCAACCATATCCGTCGCAGACTTGCCCTGCGTAGCTGGGGCGCGAGACGGCGTACGAGAAGTCGCGCGGGAAGTCGCGCGAGAGGGTATGCGTGAGTGATGCTGCGAGAGGTCGCGCGGGCGGCGCTGAGGCTGGCCGTCTTTTTGACCCCAGAAATCGGGATTACCAGCGTCGCCGGAGGACTTGCCGAACCACGCTGGAGGCTCTCTCTCCTCCTTCGTCCTCTCCCCCTTCTCGCTTTTCCTGTCCGGTTCCACATCCGTGCTGTGGTTCTCGTCGACGGGAGGTAAGGCGTCGGCGCCGCCTTTGCCGCCACCCTTCCTGTTCCTGCTCCTGCGCTGGCGACTGCCTGTATCAGAATCATTGGCATTGGATGCCGCCTTGGACGATGAACGGCTGGCAGCGGCGGAGGGCGCTTTGGACGAAGCGCGGCTGCGGCTTGGCGTCGCTCCCCGCCTGTTGGATGGGGCTGGCGACTGCACATTCGACTGACTCGCTGAGCGGGCGTTGGATGGTGTGCGGGAGGCAGACATGTTGCAATATGGAACGAGGTGGGCTGAGAGGGTAGATACAGCGAGTGAGGTCAAACGAATAGGTTATATGAGTCGTGGGACCAGCAACGTCGGTTGTATATGCGTCATAGAGGTCATAGAGAAGGTCACCGTGGGTGGACATTCGGCGTTGACGACCGTATATGTCCTCGTGGAGTGCGCGTTCCACAGCCACCGTGCCTGACGTGGAGCACCTGCAGGTGTCCAAAACACTCGGAGCGAAACTATGCGGCGGCGCCATTGCTTGTTAAGATCCAACGTCCCGCATGTCAAAGTTGGCGCTCTATGACGTCGTTGTGGCACGGAGGCAGAGATAAGTACGTGTGCCTGCGCTATGAGGATCAAGTACATCGCAGTGTCTCGCACACGCACCATTCACATATTACAACTTGCACCATGTCATCCTCGCAAAATCGAGACCAGAAACAAGCCAATCAACCCTCCGATACCTGGGGAAAGTCAGCCGGAGAGATGACGGGTGCGCCCTCGGACTGGGGGAAATCAGCCGGCGAGATGACAGGCGCCCCGGTGGACTGGGGAAAGAGTGCCACTGAGATGGTCGGTATCCCGAAAGATTGGGGGAAGAGTGCAGGCGAGATGACAGGCCAGCCCGACGACTGGGGAAAGACGGCGGGCGAAGTGACGGGTACACCAGAGTGGTGGAGTACGAAAGAGGGCCAAGGCGTGGAGAAACCGAAGGACTGGGGGAAGAGTGCGGGGGAAATGACTGGCCAGCCAGGGGATTGGGGTAAGACGGCGACGGAGATGATCAATAGGAAGCAGTGAGCGTAGAATGTCGACGGTGTGTGCCATGGCATCCCGAATAGCGTAGGACTTCAAAACAACAGACCATCAGTAGATTCAGTATTTATGCTAATGTTGAGGTGGAGAGATGTGCTTACGGACATATTGGACACGAAAGAATTGGTCTCCTTAGGTCTAATGTTGCATGAAAGGTGATCAGTAGATACCGAGGATTGAGGATTACCTCCTCCCACGTACATTGGTAATTAGCCAACATACGCGCGACTCGCGAGGCCATCCAAAGTCATCGGGAAAATGTTGGTGAATTGTTTCCGCCATGCTGTTTTCGGGAAGGTCAACATCGCATCGGGAGACACTGGCACGAGCCGCACGACACTCGGACACTGGGAAAACTGTTTTGAGGTTATGTGTTCGTCTTGGTGGGCTGCTCCGCGTCTATCTCCATGGTGAGATGGCCGAGCGGTCTAAGGCGCCAGACTAAGGATCAACATCAATTGTGATGTTCAATTAACGGAGCGGGATTCGAACCCATGCGTTATCTGGTCTTTCGAGGCGTGGGTTCGAATCCCACTCTCATCAATTTTGCTGCGTTTTGCGCTTCTAGCCGTGTATTTTATGTCCAGGAATCGCTAGAGACGCGTCAAACAGCGCGGAAGCTTGATTTTTCATGTATTTGGAAAAAAAGCACTCACCAGCGGCGTCTCGTCCCAAAAACTACCTGGAAAGCACTCCCACAAGTCATACGTGATGACTAGACCCACAATCGCCCGGTTGGAATAGCAATTCTATGCGTAATTGGTCTGCGTAGGGCCCGTAGCGTTGTGCGACCAATTTGAAACTTGCGATGCTTCGAAAGCGTTGTTTGGTTCCCCAAGACATCGGTAAACAAAGACCAAGCACACGGGTGGCGTCATTGAATATCCTCTTCAACATACTGTGACCTCTGTTGGAGTACTTCTGCTCATCGAGTCTCGACTCCTGGCCTCAGCGCTCAGCCATGCGGCCAAGCCTCAGTACTTGTGCCGATCGAGGTTGCTGGACTTCATCGACAACATTTGTTGTTTGGCGCAATTATGCCTCCAGCAATTGCCCGTGACATCAGCAAATCTGCAGGTCCAATGGCGGACTTGGGCTCACTTGGGCCACTTATGTCTGGTGGCCAAGTCAAAAAGTGCCCAAGAGAGCCAAGTTGACAAGAGCGAAATAAATTATTTCGCTCATTTTGATTTATCAGTGACACGGTAATTTATATGTAGTACTGTCTACACCTAATACAAGGTTCATGCGGGATGTACACGGAATGGAGTCGTTCACATAGCATGCATGGGCAAAAGGGACGTGCCCTTGCTCTTTGACCTTGAAGTAATCTATCGTCGGAAAGGCTTCGAGGGGACTCACCGAATGTGCAGGGGGTCGAATGGACGGCCGGCTCGATGCCCGCACCACTGCTATCATATAATATCTACTGATGCATCACCTTCAATGCATCGCCAGTCGTTCGTCTACATTGCTTGTGCAATTCAATCGTAGCCTAAAGGATTGAAACCCCATGAAAGGACTCGAGGCTGAGGAGGAAGATGACTCACTGTGAGGTACGTGACTTGTGAGCACTCCAGCATCAAAATTGTTGTCGTCGGATAGTCGGCGAGAGTTGCCAACGAGAGGGTCGAGCTAAGGGTGAGAGGAGCGAGGAGCGAGGAGGGAGGGAGGAGGAGCGGCGCGACCGAGAACCGATCGTGTGTGCACCTTGTTCGCTTCCGAGTCCTTCAACGTTCGACGTTCAACCTGCGTTCAACGCTCAACTTCTCCACTGCCTCTCTTCCCATCTCGCTCTACTCTCTCCTGCTGGCCTCGCAGTCGCTCTCACCCCCGACATCAAAAGGACGGAGAACGGAGAACAGCTTGGCCGAGCTGCGAACACAATGTCAAATTAAAATTGGTATCCCAGTCAGTATACACCAGACCTAACGAATGGATCGCGGCTGAAATCCTGCGGGACGACTTTCTCATTCCCGTACCCTCCTAGATGCTATAGACACGGCCATGGAGCTTCAGGATGCCCCAGCATTGCGATTGCAGAATGGCCTCCTCGGCGCTTTCGTCACACACAAGCTCCGCGACTTACCCCAATCCACTACCGCGCGTACCACGCTCCTTCTAAACGTCCACACGTCCTTCCTCAACACCTTCCTCGCATCGAGAGGAATCCACTCACTTGCCGCGGCTTTCGACGCGGACGTACATAAGACCGACACGGTACATAAGACCTCCCGTTTCCGCCTTCTTCGCTGGAGCCGCTACACTGGAGGAGGAAGGCAGTAGCGGGCGCCGCACGCACCTTGGTTTGTGGTCCTAGCGACTGCCGCCAAAGGTGACGCGTTGATCTCCGCCCCCTTCGGGAGGCAGGGCAAACGACATCTACTTCAACGAGCTGAAGGCGCTGTACGGCAAGAGGTGGTGCACCGGGCGCGTTCTATAGTGAAGGGTGCGGTGTCCTGTATTCTCTGCATTTTTTCTCATTTTATCTGACCTTAGGACTCTTCTTTAGAGTTAAATCCGAGTCCCAAGGAAGGGCGTAGCAACTACCGAATGCCGTTTTGAATCCAAAATGCGCACGCTTTCCCTACTAACAGACTGTGTCCCCTTTTTTCAGCCATCTGCGAGGCCCGGTAGCGGTGTGTTTTTCTGCATTAAATAAGTACATATGTAGTGTAAAATGTACTTGTAGTCTCTGGGGCACTTGGGCACTTGGCGCGACAAAATAGCAAGCAGTAAATATTCGTCTGGGGATAAAAATGACCTAGCTGGGGCTCTTGTCGACTTGGCCACTTGGGCTCTTGTACAAGACTGTACAATCTTGTACAAGAGGCTCAAGTGAGCCCAAGTAGATCTGTAGAAAACCTGATGGAACTTGGGAGCTGCTCGGAGGAGTCGGAGCAACGGGAACCATATCTGTAAGTCGAGTTATTTGTATCTGATTTTCACTGCTCATGACCCAAGTATAGTCTACGTTGCATCTGACTTGGCGTTAACGCTGCAGGCAAATCTTCGGCATTGGGACCATGCTCGTGAGATTTGTGTATGTCTATCACACTAGCGCATGCGCAGATAATCGTAATATCCGCTGATTTGATCGCAATCCCATGTCTACGTGAGTTGCACACCACACAAACTGTATTTGCGTCGTGTAACGACATTTGAAACTTCTTTCCGCCAAGTGCAGCGTCACCGGGGCTCTGCACGGAAACATCCAATAACTGGGCTACCTAACTCAACTTCCCTCTGTTGCTTTGCATGGCCAAGTCGGGTTCATCGTCGGTGCGCCTTCCACTTAAACACCGTCTTGACGCGTCGGTATACCCTCGGAATTCATTGTTTGTCGTGGATCCACGTATCAAGAGCAATGGGCTTCGACCTGGCTCTGACCTTTGCATCTCTATGACTTTGTCCATGGTCAGTGGGCCCTCCCGGCCCGCGCGCAACGTGATCCTTGGGTGCGTAATTCTGGTTATCTGGCAAAGTGCATAGCACTTGTACTTGTATACTAATTATGGCAGCCCAGGTTCACCGTACTTTGCGAGTTCGATGTTACTAGGCCCCGCAAAGCTCCCTCGCAGTGCATAACAAAATCATATAAAGCCTCAGGCAATGGACGGTCGATGCCCTCAACATCAACTATTTCACGGCTCTCTTTTCCTCTACACGTTTATCAACTTCTGCAATGCAAGGAACTTTTGGATCGGATCCGTCTGCCTCGTCTGCCATGGGCTGCGGTTCTGCGCCGTCTTGCACGAGCGGCTCTGGATCGGATCCGTCTTCCTCGTATGCCATGGGCTGCGGTTCTGCGCCGTCTTGCACGAGCGGCGGTATTGACCAGTCTTACACGAGCAAGAGCCACGACGATGCCATGTAGGTCTTCACGCTCCTTCGTTTATCTTCTACGCTTCACCTAAGCGGCCATAGGGAAGCAACTTGCGCTATGATGGAGGCACTTGAAATTCAGAGGCAGGCTCGACGGTTCTATACTTCTCTCCACACCCCACCGCCCTCTCAGACGCGTCGCACCAAAGATATCTCCACCGCTTCGTCCCCTCCACGCGTCTCCCCTGCTGCACGAGTTCGCTCTACCACGTCGCACTATTCCAGTCCCGCACGGACTCCAGAGACGTCCAAGGCCCAGCAGGTAATTTCCTATCTTCTGATAAAAATCCATCTGACGTGATATTGTGTTACACGAAGAATAACACAGTATCCGTCTCACGTTGTCCTACTCAACGGCAGACTGCGTACAACTACGGCACCCAGGGCCACCCACAGGCCCATGAAGGCAGTGGGGCAAGAGCGGCGACGACCATCCCGGTGCAGTCGATGCGCGAGAATCCTCGGCCACGCCCGCGTGGACCACGGCCCATGGCTCCACTGCGAGTCGTCAATAAAGATCTGACAGTGCCTTTGTTGGGTGCAGTAGGGCCTCCAGACAAGGCCCCAAAGGAAACCGGTCCGACCCCGGTATGTGTATGCTGCCTCCCGAATACGAGTCGTCTGCTGAGTGTGCGTTCAGCCGACTCAGCCCAATAACTCATCGGTCTCTATCCGCGATCGTGCACCTAGTCGCATATTTAGCGGTGATTTTATTCCACGGGAGCTGGCTACCGCCACCTACACGGATCGTGCTGGTCATATCGTAGGCCTTCAACTTGCTCCACCTGTCGTCTTTGCGACCGATGGACCAGCTGGACACTATATGGGTTTTCCTTGAAGGACGCCCTGGACAAGAAGTTCGAGTTTCTGGAGCATCGTACGTCGTCTGCCTTCACAAAGGGTGTCAAATCTATCGTAATGCGAATCGAGGTGAGATTGATTTATATTCGCTGCAGTCGTTTGCAATCTCATACCCTTTTCATCAGTGGCCGGGATATACCGTGTACGAGAAACGACTTGCTGTCGCACATTGGAACTTGAAGCTTTCTCGCAAGCCGCTTACCATCGCGGAATTGGCTGGACAGATCGCCAAATACGTCAAGGTGTTCATGGATGTCAGTCGCTCCTTTTCATTATACCATTTCAGCGTATTCATGCAAACGTGAGTAGGAAACCGCAGACGTTTTGCAGCGACAGGGTCCCCAGTCGTCGTTCAACATAGGCCCTGGTGCTATCACGATCGACGACCTAGCGCTGGTCAGCTTCCATCAGGTCTCAACGGGCATCTGGCAGCCGCTGCTTCGTTTGAAGTGTTAGGGGACTGGCTTTCTTCCGGGCGTCCATGAGCCAGGACTGAGAACCAAGTAATAAGCACGGGCGGTTTGCGGGCGGTCATTCGTGGGTTGTACAATGTCCTCGGAGTTCCGTCCGCAGATCCCTTTCCCTATTTCGAGCTAATTCTTCTTCGACGACCTGTGTTTTGAATATTCCGCTATGCTGTACACCTTCCATCCTCTTTCCGTTATCTTTGCTCTATGTACATCTGGCATCATAATGCAATAACATACTATATTTGTCCTCTCAGTACCTCGCGAGGCGTTGTCTCATTACTTCATCAAGTTGAGTAACACGAGTGACGTCGTGTCTCCAACTCCAGG